CAAGGCGGCTACTAAAGGAACCACTAACACACAGTAACAGACCACTCCAGTAGTGTGGTGTTTTAGGGCATGACTTGCGTAGGAGGATGGATTCTGCCCTCCCCCCACCCCCCCGCCCCCCCGCACACATACACACCCATGCATTTTCCTCCAATTAGTCCACTGTAAAATCAATGGGGTAGAGTTTCCTGTGCCCTGGGGCCTCTGCTATCTCCTGAGCCTCTAATGAGTGGGGGTGGGGGGGTAGGCAGGGGATATTGTTTTTGTTACCCCTTAGCACCCCTCCATCAGTCTACAGTGATGGAGAGGCTGATTGAGGTGGGGGGGGGGAGAGGGATGGCATTATGTTTGCATCCATAAGGGGATTCCTTGTTTCCCTGTCAATAACTACCCTCCCCCCCCCACCCCCCACACATCATGTTCAGAGCACTGCTGCAGCGTATCTCTCACTCACCTTCAAGGGTCCTGTAACATTTATAGCTGCATGTAGTTTTTATAGCTAAATGTGTGTTGAATATTGAATTATGTACATATATTTCATCACTTGGTCATAAACAGTTAAAACCTCAGGATCCCGTGTGATGCGCAGTGTGGTCTGCAGTGTAAGAGACTGTGCAGTATACAGGTTAGATATCACCCACGGACTCCACTGGAAAACAGCCCACTGTGATCCGTGGTAGATACTGAGCAAGGTACTTTTTGGTCACATCATTGCAGCTGTGATTGGCTTGCGATGATCTCGGTTTCTCGTTCCCTTGAGATGCTTCGGTTCATTGATTTACACACGGGACGTCATTGGAAGACACGGCTGGTCTTCCAGACCTTTCAGAAATCCAGACAAACGTCACCACCGTGGAAGGTGAGCGGTATTCAGCACCAAACCCATGCGGGGGAGCCGGTGTGCTGCTCGGGACTGATAACGGGCTTCGCGATTCTGCCGTGATCTTTACACACAAAGCAGGATGCCGATGCTGTAGCAGCCACCCTTTGTCAGGGAGAGAAGATGAGTCATGACAGCCTTAAACCCTTTGTTTATATTTCGCTTGTCCTGTTTCCCTCTGAATTTCAGTTTTATCCACAGATCAATGCTCAAGTAAGGAAGAAACAGACCACGATATTTATCTTTGGTTAGGGTTCAGGTTTAGAGTGGCAGGAATTCTTTAGTCAAGGAAGAATCATTTTCTTGAGAAATCATGTGATGCTATTCTCCTTATGACAGTTTAGCAGCTCATGCTTTTTACATCCTGGGTTAAAGGTCACAGTTCTGCATTTGTGGGAATTTCACGAGTTTCTTCCAGATACTCACATTTTCCTCTTTATCAGGCATACCCTGCTTCATGCTCTGTTCTTTCTGGGATTGGCTGCAGCCCTGGGGGGGGGGGGGGCACTGGTGCACTTGAATGGCGTTAACTTTTTTGCTTGAAGATACTAGACTGGCCTGGATTTCAAAACTGCACCTATGAACCAGGGTCAAGCTGCTTCCACTCCATGTGATGTTCCTGGGGTCAAAGGGGACCCCTGTCGCTTTGGCAAACGTTCACAGAGGTCTGCTGTAGGTGGGGGCTTGGAGAGGGGTGGGGGGCGGTGAGTCAGTTGCGGTGTGCGGGAGCGACGTCGTGAAAAGCAGAGGCGTTCAGATGCGGAGGCACTCTGTGGTGTCACCAGGCGGTGTGACACGTCCCTGTAGCCCCCGTGATGAGGGTGACTGTCGCTAAACACAGTCTCCGTGTTCCTCGAAAGCCCCCACTGCTCTGGACCTTCACAACGAAGCAAAATCCAGAGACACCTGACATCACATAACCTGCCACTGGTGATCTATGTGCATCTCGCCCCCTAGAGCCCAAGAGAGGTATCTGCACCCCTCCAGGACCTACTGTGACCAGTCAAGCTGCATCCAGTGTGACCTACATGGTACCCATGAAGGCTGAGAAGTTTTCTCCCATTGGAAACTTACAGGAAGCTATAGGGCTCAGGAGGCTAATTACTGTGAACGTGCAGAATTTCACCTGTTGGGGGTTTAAGAAGGTAGCGGGTGAAGCTGGGGTGCAATAGTGTGAAAGAAATTAGGTTGAAGTCCTCAGATTCTCCTTATAACACTAAAACCTGACATGAGAGATTCTAATGGTGTCGTTTCCAGACCTGCTGTGTTTTGATTACCGATGAAAAGTAGGACCGACTCACCTCTGCTAATTAATGCTGGAGACTGTGCAGAAAATGTGCATGTATGTGCATGACCAAAGCAATTAGTTCCTAAAAGAGGCAAAAGGCACTTTATTTACATAAATAGGCTTGCTAGCTAATCAGCGGCAGAACACCAGTGGTAATGGCTGCTTGATATCCAGTCCAAGCTAATTTTGTTACATTCACACTCGATATGAAAGACTGGTGAAGGAACAGAAGTGCGGAAAGAAGCTGTCATGTAGGTCTAGGGGGAGGAGGTCCCTCCTTTGCCGTTTCCTGAGGGTTGACAAGCCATTATCTCAGACGGCATGTAACAAACAGGCTTTTAGGCAGCTTTTTTCTTAAATATTTATATTCAGAACAGGAACGTTTCAGCTAAAAATCGTCACCATTCTGTCCGATTCCAAACCTCTTGTCTGGTGCTTATTTTCTTCTCGGAGACTTTGAGCAAAAGCAGCCTGCATGAGATCTTCACACCTTTTCTATTCATAGCCTTTTTATATTTACACTCAGGTTACTTTGCTCCGGAGAGCAGCTGCTCGTGTTTCAGCCTCAGAGCCGATTCTCGGCTCCGGAACGGTCCGTCTCTGGCACCCGCCACGTGGGGTCGGAGGGGTCAGCGGCGCGGTCAATACCCCACCTCATCGCCCTGCCGCGTCCGGACAAGCCTACTGACCTACAGCGCGTAGATGGCAAATTACTGCTCGCAAATCAGATTTAAACGAATCGCCACTCAATAGCATTTAAGACCTAATCAAGGAGCTTGTAAAGAGGACACAGAGTCCTCCCCCCGCCTCACTGGGTCAGGGTGCCCACTGGCGAGCGAACACTGTGATGCTCACTAATCGCTACATGCTGTGCACAGGGGCTTTTAGCATTAGCCTACAGACCACACACTGCAGACTGTACAAGCAGACTGACCGCTGTGTTCTGGGGAACGAGACCAGCTGGGCTAATCTTGCAGAATCAATAGTGTGTCACTCAGGAGGTTAAGCCTCAGTGAACGGAAGGTTGCCAGTTTGAATCCCATGCTTGGCAGAGTAGTCACAACCTCCGTTGGGCCCTGGATCAAGGTCCTTAATGCACTGAAGAACCTGTGCTCAGACCCCAAGGTTCACTCTCAGCTCTATATGTCTGTTTCTTATAAAGCAGAGCATGATGGGATACATGAGAACTAACACATTCCAGTGTAGCTGTACTCAGGCTTATGCAATTGGCAAATAAAGCTTCATCTCATTTCCTGCTTTAACCCAATGGGAACCAACTGAATTACAGGCAGGTATGTGGGTTGACCCCGTCACTGGCTGAATGCATGTTAATCTCACTCACCACCGACTGAGCGTTAAGTCTAATTTCCTCCCCAAAAATTAGCGGTACATTCACATGTTATAAACACATGTTGCGTGTATGTCCACTGCAGATGGCATGCTCAGGCTGTGAAGGAGGGTGCTGGGGGGGGGAGGGTCCCGTTCATTCTGCCACCCTTTATCCAGTTCTATTCCTCATCAGGACCTTTCCACATGCACCCCCCCTCCACCTAAACCAAAGATGCTCCCAGATGTCACTGCTGTGTGGCATTTAGCTTCCGTCTATCCCAGCATGCACCTTGAGATTCACTTATCACCCGAAAGCTCGCCTTGGTCTCTGATCAGTATTAACGAGCGTTTTCTTCCTGCTATTAGTTCTGTTTCTGAGCCTTAAAAAGGTAGAACTGAACTCCCTTCATCCTGGCTAGGCTGCCCCCCTCCCATCCCTGACCTAAATAAGCAGTTAGAAGATGGATGGATGGATGGATAGATGGATGGATGGACCAATGGATGGATGGTGGTGAGGCATGTTTGGCCGTCTGTACGCTTATTGAATCCTATTTTGCCGTGCTGTCTTCTCT